TTAACCGCTTTCTCTGCAGAGTCATTTACTACTTTAAGTGAACATACAATTTCTTTTCCGTGTAAATAAAAATTATCAGTATTCCAATTACTTGGAACTAAATTTAAAAAATTAGTATTGATATCGAATCGTTTAAAAAATTTCATACTGCTTTTTGACAAAAAAGAAGCTACAGTTTTTTCTAAAATATCAATCACTGAANGTAGATAGTTTTGATTTTAGGCCGCGGACATTTTGATAATAGCCAGATAAAGTGTTACAATTATTACTTAACTTATGGTTGAAGTTTACATAGAGAAAATTATTAATATCACATGACGATTGAATGAAGGGTATACCTGAGCCACATATCAGTTTTTTTGGGCCAATGTCGGTGAACCGCGAACATATTTTATGAACCAAATTCCATTATTCAAACTATTTCTTCTATCACGTGCTTTTTTAAGGTCTGATAAGTTGGACCTTTGTAGAGCAGTTAAATCTGTTGTAATCCAAATGTTTTTCCAAAATTGGTTATTGGAAAGTATTTTCTTAGATTTTAAGACTGCAAGGACTGACTGAGTAGACTCAAATTCGATTCTAATAGGTCTTGGTTTATTCGATTGCTTACCAAGACGAATGGCTGAAGTAATGGTAACAGCAATATTTAATGATTTTATAAGATCAGTAGCAAGCTTCATCTCATCATCTTGGGATTCGACAACATTAAATAGTAATATGTTATGGGATTTCGTTTCACTTTCCTGTATTTCTTTAACTAAATCGAACCCGGGATAGTTATTAGCAGTGTTGGATGAACATGTATGATCCAGAGAATTTGTTTTTAGTTTTTCGATGTCTCTTTTTAATTGCGCACTTTCGTTTTTTAATGAAATAATTTCGGCTGAGAGAGTATCCATTCTATTTAAAATAGCTGTTGACGTATTTTCTTGGGTCAATAGTTTTGAGTTAATCGATTGAATGTCATTCCGCATGATTTTGAGGGTGTTCATTATATCGACAAGAGAAACATCTTTTTTAACATTAGTTGAGGGTGGCTTAATAACTGGAGATTTATTCATGGACATATTGATGAGTTTAGTATGTATATATATATATATATTAGGGTGTCCCTTATTTTGAAAATTTTGGAAATTCTTCGGGCTCACCCCCCAAATTTGTGTGTATACATATAAAAATTGGCTACAAAAAATTTCAGGCCGATCAGATAAGTTTAACCCGTGCCGACTTGGGATTGAAAATCGGCCAAAAGGGGTACTTTTTCAGTTTTTAGCAATTAACTCGTAAATTAGCGTTCTCACAAAAAAAAATATTAAAACTAAATTGTAGATCTAATTGTTTTGTATAAATTAAGTCCTTACAGTTTTTCTTTTAAATCCATTAGTTTTCTAGAAAAATGTCAAAATACATAATATTTCGTAAAATTGCCGAAATTAGCATATTTACGAATATTTCATCATATATGACGAACCATATGTGATACGACCTAATATTTCATACAAAAATTGTTTAAAATTAAATTTTACGAAATAAAAGTAATAAGTACAAATTTCATTGAATCGATCGTTTTATTGCTATAGCTGAAATAACTCGATCATATTACGATTTTTACTAAATATATGAATTTTAATGCTTAATTTAAATATATTTCATTTATATTGTAAATTGATGTAGTTGTTTGACTTAAACGCATAATTATACTTACTTCTCAATATTCATGTATAAATAAAAAAAAAATTACTACATAAAATACAAAATGTTTAATTCACAAATTATAACAAGAATATACATTAAAAACTATGTTTTAATGTTTCTTTGTTGCAATTAAGATATAATATGCTATGCTCTTGGACATAGTGTAAAAGTAACTCAGCTTTTTCATCGTTTACAATTAAACTTTCATGAAAATCTTCTATTAGCTTAACCGCTTTCTCTGCAGAGTCATTTACTACTTTAAGTGAACATACAATTTCTTTTCCGTGTAAATAAAAATTATCAGTATTCCAATTACTTGGAACTAAATTTAAAAAATTAGTATTGATATCGAATCGTTTAAAAAATTTCATACTGCTTTTTGACAAAAAAGAAGCTACAGTTTTTTCTAAAATATCAATCACTGAATAGTCATCAAAAAATAAAGATATCAAAAATTATTATACCTGAAAATGATTTGTCAATATCACTCGATGAAAGAATAAAACGTTTGTTAGGGTTTATTATTGACTCATTATTAAGGAATACAACCATTAATTTTTTTATTTCGGTTGAAATGAAATCGTCCATTTCCTAGAAAATATTACACTCGCGAATAGTCAATGCTACTTTTGCTCTTATAANTATTACACTCGCGAATAGTCAATGCTCTTTTGCTCTTATAGTAAGATTAACAATTCTTAGGTTATAAAAAAAAACTTTTAGAACTTGCCCAATGGATGGAAGTTTTGAACCTAAAATTTGAGTAGTCAAAGACCCTATTAAAAATATTTTATTGTCATTTCGTAATACTACGGACATTTTTACGTACACTAAAAGAAAAACACAATAGGAAGCAGTTCAACTTGATACGCGATGTGAGAGACTAAAGTGAAATAAGTGTGAGTTCACTATATCTATTGCTGCGATTTGTAATAAATTTACGATTTCCAGAGTTATTTATAATTTAATAATAATAATTTATTTATATNGTATTTTCTTAGATTTTAAGACTGCAAGGACTGACTGAGTAGACTCAAATTCGATTCTAATAGGTCTTGGTTTATTCGATTGCTTACCAAGACGAATGGCTGAAGTAATGGTAACAGCAATATTTAATGATTTTATAAGATCAGTAGCAAGCTTCATCTCATCATCTTGGGATTTGACAACATTAAATAGTAATATGTTATGGGATTTCGTTTCACTTTCCTGTATTTCTTTAACTAAATCGAACCCGGGATAGTTATTAGCAGTGTTGGATGAACATGTATGATCCAGAGAATTTGTTTTTAGTTTTTCGATGTCTCTTTTTAATTGCGCACTTTCGTTTTTTAATGAAATAATTTCGGCTGAGAGAGTATCCATTCTATTTAAAATAGCTGTTGACGTATTTTCTTGGGTCAATAGTTTTGAGTTAATCGATTGAATGTCATTCCGCATGATTTTGAGGGTGTTCATTATATCGACAAGAGAAACATCTTTTTTAACATTAGTTGAGGGTGGCTTAATAACTGGAGATTTATTCATGGACATATTGATGAGTTTAGTATGTATATATATATATATTTATGGTTTTCGATGTATAATAATATAGATACCTCAGTCCTGATATAATATGACTAATGATGCTGATCACGTTGGTTCAATAATCCGAACCACATTTGAGTTGTAATTAAATTGCAGGACGACGATGACCAGCGTTAAAATCTCCAAGTAAACAGCTGATCAGTAGTATCAGACAAAATGTATGAATTTATAATAGTGATAACGTACCAAATTGTACGAAGAACATAAAAATTATACATGTAAAAAACCACGATACTAGGGCACAAAACTATTTGAAACGACACTCATATAAACATAAAAGACTAATTAATAAATTAAAACAAACTGCGGGTAAATTAATCTACAAATTACATTACTATGTTGATTACAAACAAGAGCACATATGTACTATCACTTATCACTGATCACCAATTAATTATGACAATCTACAAATAATCCTGGCATTTATTGCAGACGTATTGATGGTTTTCAGCAGATATCAGAAAAAACTGCAGTCTGATACAATTACAATTTTGGATAAGGACAAAGAGACAGTGAACGAGATATCCAGGCTTAAAATATTAAAAACGGAAGTGTTGCTTGGTGGATGAGTGACAACCTTTAAGGAAAAGTGAGAAATTCATAGTGAAAATGAGGTTTTACTAAAAGGAGAAGTCTTAACAAGAAATCGAAAACGTCGTTTAAAGGAACATCACAAGTTTGTTTCTCAGAATCGAGACTACTCCGTAATATGCAATGAACTTGTGGATTCTCTTGTAAATTTTTTGCAGAAGATATTCGATATTGATGCGAATACTGTTAAAATTTTAAAACCATTCACAGAACTAAAGCGATCCATTGATATGAAAGTCGTTCATAAATTGTTAGGAAGCGACTTAGATCTTGCTGAACTTTCAATGGAATATTCGGAGCTCTCACGCATCAAAATATTGAGCAGTTAAAAAAAATCAGCTTGAAAGAAACTCTTCAGGCTTTAGTGACGACAAATTATTTTTTTTCCAATGTTTCTGTTATTATGGCCAGAATTTTTGCAGCAAAATCTCATTCCGCTGACGTTGCAAGAGTGATTAGTGTGAACAATTTGTTGAAAACCAGCAATAGAAGCAGTCTTAATATTGAAAGCGAGAATGAATATCTATATATTTATTTTAATCTTCCTCCATTAGCCAAATGGAATCCTCATCCAGAAATTAATGAGTGGTTTAAGAAAAAAACGAGAGTTAGAGAAACTGTAAAGACGAAAGAACAAGAGTGGTATAAGAGAATATTTATAAGTGTAAATGATAACCAAAAAGATTCGCAAAACGAAGAAAAAGTTCCTATTAGAAAGTTTTAAGTTTCGTTTGTACTGATTTTAATTTTGAGACAAATTATTTTTTTATTATATATTTTTCTGTTTCTTTTTTTAAAGTTTTAGGATTTATTGTAATAATAAAACACTAGTCTCCATTAAATGTAGTACTTTTTTTTACCCACACTAACCTACCAAAGTCTTTATGAAATTTTATGCTTTAAAAAACGTTTTTACTAAAATAAAAAGCTAAAAAAACGTTGGCTCGAAGGGGGTTTTGCCCCCTGTGCCACCACCGGACCCCCCCCCCCCATTGCTTTGTTATCCAAAAAATATTTCGTGATGCACAACATAATAAAAGGACAGTGGGTAATAGAAAAAAAACTTTACAATAAGGCCTGCCATATTTTATAAGTTTCAAATTTATACTATTTTATAATATTCTTACTTTAGCTGACTTATTTTGTACTAAATATATATTTATTACGATATAACCTTCAACTGGATTAGCAGGAATGTATCGTTTAGTGATAGTTTCATTAACTCTAATTAAGTCGTTTTCTTCAATTAAATAATCCAGCAGGTCAGTGCACCAACGTTTACCATCTTTTATAACGAGTTTTTCTAAAAAAAAAAATTAAAATTAAAACATCAATCTATTATTTTCATAAAGTCGCCCCAACGGCCTGCACACCTCATAGTTGCGAAGTTCGCCTTGGATGGGACGACTTCTACCCCGTGGAAGCCAGTGGAAGAGGGAGGTAGGCCGAGGCTACTCATCATTGAATAGCCTAGACCCGAAAAAGCAGGAAGAAGAAAGAGGCAAAGGGAATGTGGCCTGGACCTAAGGGACCCAGACCTGGGAGACGAGGAGGCTCCCGTGTTACGGGGGGCGGCGATATTCACCCGACGCCAACCCGCCCAAACACCCCAGTCGTCCTATTGAACGTGTGCCAATTCAGCTTTGTACCGCGGAGGACTGACCTTACAACCCCAAGAGTTTTAAGGCTCTCAAGTGAGCTAAAGTAATATTTAATAAACCCAGTTTTTCGGTATTTATATTACTTAATTTATTAAAAATTATAAAACATCTAATAAAATACACGAACATTTGTATATATAGCTTATTATTTAAATGATAATCAACTTTTGAAAAAAAAATTAATTATTTATAAAATGTAGCATAGAGCAAAAATATAAAGGTTTGGGAAAAGTACCTTAAGCTATCGTATATTTATGTATATACGATAGCTAGATACATCCGAATATTGCAGTAGATTTTTTCAAGCTCTTAATCTGTTTTTCTGGGAAAATAGTCAAGTGTATCGAGAATTTTAATTTAGTTAGAGAGTGGCTTTAAAAATTAATAAAAGTTTAATCAAATACAGGACATTTCCATTTTGTGCTATTACTTTTTTTAAATTACAAAAAAAAAAAAAATATTATATTATTACCAATAGGATGTTTAACGTCAATAAAAGGTTTTATAATTCCTAAAGCATAACTATTTTTAGCTTTATGAATTGGAAATTTTGAACGATTTAATTCCCATAAAACTGCTCCTTTTAAAACACTAACTGCTGATTGTTCTGGTAAAAAAATGTTTAAATTTTGATTAAAATGCTCTACTATTTTTTCTTGAAGCCATAATGATTGTGCATATCCTCCAACGAGAAACATATGTGTCACATTTTTGTTATTCTTTATTATGCTTTTGATTTGCTAAAATATTTCAAAAAAAAATTTACTAATAAAAAAAGAAAATTATGAACAATTAACGGTAAGTAAAATACTGTAATCTAAATTAATAATATGGACAATATAAATAAGATGAGCTTGCGTGTCACAAGTCTAAAATAATAATTCTTTAATAAAAAAAATTGATAATTATTCTTTACATAATTCATGTGATTATTTTTTTTTTTTTAATACTATTTCAAGAGCAGGAAATGATAATATAAAAATTTTAATTTTGTAAAATCAAAAAAATAGTCTTGTGACAGCGTATAATACTAGTAAATACACTACCAATGTGAATTTGCCATTGCAAATTCACATTGGTAGTATATTTAGTGAGAATCCTTGGTGTCTGAATCCCCCATTAATATGAAATCTAGGGTAAAAATCCTTTTTTTAATTATAAGGGCTATTAAAGGATCAAAAATGGTTTATGAGTCAGACAAATACTTATACTAAAAAGTCGACACAACTGACGCTATTTATAATAATACAAGCTAACGTTTAACTGTAGGAACTTTTAATAATTTGTTAATCCATAAACAAAAAGAGAAAAATTTAAACGAAAAATATGTATAAGAAAAAATTGGGTGTATAAAATAGAATCAAAATGTAAAATATATGTAAACAAATTTAAGCTTACGCAAAGAATAATAAGAAAGGGAATTCTAAAAAAAGAATAAAATAATATATTTTTTTAGCCTTTAAATTATTATTATTTAAATTATATTTACTTCAGAAATGCATTCAAAACTTGTCAAAAATAAACGTTCCACAATCTTATATTTTATGATAAAAAAACCATCTATTTCATTCCATTGAATTTCTTCGCAATTGTAATCTTTAACAGCATCAGATATCTTAAAACATATTAAAAGTAATAATCGTGATTATATAATTTACCATAAAAGAACAACTAACATTTTTACAACTTTAATTTTAACAATTTTTTTTATTTTGAATTGTATCAGATATAAGTGTACAATAATTTAATTATTAGTTTTGATGCACAAGAAAATTATTAATTTTAATCCTATTAAATAATTTATATTTGTTAACAATTCCTATTCCCGCAGGGGAATCCGCAGGGATTACGGCCCTAACAAACCCGTGGACCATAGTTATTTCAGTGGAGGTGTCAACACGTACCACTGCTCTTAAACGGTCATGACTTTGGTTAGTTAGAACGGGTAGGCCTGGGCATACCTGCTTGCTAACAGCGAATAGGCCCCGCTAACCCAGCCATACCAAGTGAAAGGGTTGCTAACTTGTCACAGGGTAGTTAGCCGAAAGGTAAAGAGACCATGTGGATCCTCTATGGCACCTGGCGCACCATAGAGTACACAGCCTTATCACAGTATCGAGCTCTACTATGACGGAACTTTATTTCTCGACTACTCGTGGGAACTATATAGACAAAAACATAGAAACACCACAAAACAACGAAATTGAGACGATCAAGGATCCTACGGACAACCTGTAGGAACAAAATTGTGAACTGGCGACTCTTTGCAGAAGAATCGCCGAACTTGAAGGTCTCAATGCGAACAACGGGACACTTTGGGAACCGTCTACTAGCAAAAAGACAGCAACGTCAAACCCAACCGACCAGGAATCGCAAAATCAACTGGGATCAGTAGCTGACAAAATCGAGGGTCTAAAACTTAGACCTGAGAAACTGATCGGCAGTCAGAGGCGTAAGCTGAAGAGGAGCCGAGCAATCATGGAGGGACAGAAGAACCTACCAAAGGAGGGAGACAAAAGGAACCGATGACTTGAAAAAATCAAAGGGAACCGAAGCTCAAAAACCTGAGGACAAGGGTTAAGAACCTCCATGTAAGGAAACTCATTGGGTACCGACCTAAATGGACGTGATAACCGATGATAAAGAAGTGGCTCTGGTCTTCGCAGGCAACCCAACTAACAAGTTGACCACAGAGGAGGGGCTATTCATTGAGTCTTGTGTTGGAGACTTGATACTGTCGGTTACTGAAGGAACCGACGTATCAAGGTGTGAAGACATCAGACTCACTGATGGAGCACTTGTGATCAGTGCAGCCCAAGAGAGCTCTCTTAAGTGGCTCACTGATCATGTCAACCTGATAAAACCTTGGGACGGTGCAGAACTCCAATTAAATGCTTACAACCCGATCAAGTACAAACGGATGGTCACTCATATACCAGGGCTGCCAAAAGAGTTCAAGAAGAACTTGGAAATTTTGGCAAAACAAAATCCAGGGCTGAATACAACGATATGGAAAGTCCACCATGAGACAGATGTTGGCTCGAAAGGACAAACTTTGTTTCTAAGTGTGGACTAAAAGAGTATAGCCAAACTGGAGGAACTGAAGCGCAGTCCATATTTTGGAATGGGCAGAGTTTCCTTCACAGACTATGTTGCCAAGCAGCCACCAGCCAGAAGGATGTGAAAAAATCTACTCCTCAAAAATCTGGGAAGAGGAAGGCTGAAGAATCATCAGTGCCACTCGGAAAAGGAGGTAAGGCACAGGTAAGAAACAAACAGATGCACTTCACTCCTGCTTCGAAAGGGAAGGAAGTGTGTTACGTAAGGGAAAGGGACCCAGGAAACCGCCACCCTCAATAACGGTCACAGCTGAGGGAAACCTCTTCAAGGATCCAAAAGGAAATGTGGAGAGCGAACCTAAGGTACGGTCGTCACCTGGAGACGACGGGGGGACACCACCCACAAGGAGGGCTATATGACACAGGAACTGTTTCAGACACCTGTATCACACCCAGTACAGCGTGCTTTCTCAAGCGTCATCATCAATTTTTCTGAATGGCTGACAATAGAATTCGATTCACGCAAATAAACCTGCATCACAGTAAAGGGGCCAGTAGTGTATACTAAGGACCCTAACTGAGAGGCATAAAATACCCTTACAAATAGCACTTATTCAGGAACCATGGATAAATGGTGACCAGATTAAGGGACAAAATCTAAGTACTTTTAAACTGTTTCATAAACAAGCAGATAAACCAAGAACTTGCATTTTGGTTAATAATAAAGTTAAAGCCAGCTTGATACTTAATCAATCATGTACAGACTTGACTATTATTAAAGTAACACTAAATGATGGTAAAAATATTATAGTAGCTTCAGGATACCTACCGTATGAGGTCACAGATCCAGATAGGGACCTAACTATGCTCTTTAATTATTGCAAAAATGAAAAATTAGAACTAATCCTAGGTATGGATGCTAATGCACACCACACTATTTGGGGGAGCAGTAACATCAACCAAAGAGGAGAGGTTATAATGAATCTATTGCTGACTATAGACCTTAGTATACTGAATAGAGTTAGTGAACCTACTTTTGTTATCAGGAACAGGCAGGAAGTCATTGATCTGACAGTCTGCTCAAAAGGGTTACTTCAAAAGATAAAAGGGTGGAAAGTGTACTCCGAACCTTCTCTTTCTGATCATAGGCACTTACGATTCATTTTGGAAATTAACAAAGTTGAAACAAAACTGTTGAGGCAATAATACTGCCAGACGGAATGTTCACCAATAACGATAATGAAACATTATCTCATTTGATGAACACATATTTTCCTGACTCTGCAATTAACAACAGAGAACAGGAACATGATGCACAGGACAAACGTGTGAGCTGTGCTGATTGGAGACTAACCAGGAAATTGATAACCCCAAGTGGAATAAGATGGGCAAAAAAAGCCTTTGGCAGTTTTAAAGCTGCAGGTTGTGACGAGATTTTCTCTGGACTTCTGCAAGAAGGGTTAGAGATAATCGTCCCCCATCTCTGCAAAATATTTAGGGCATGCCTTGCTTATAGTTATCAACCGGAAAGCTGGCGAAAGGTCAGGGTGGTGTTTATACTCAAACCTAACCGGACTAACTATTATGAAGCAAAATCCTAAAGGCTAATAGTCTTACTTCATTTCTTCTTAAGACTGTGGATAAACTTATTGATAGGTACACCAAGGAGATGCCTCTTGAGGGGAACCCTTTACATGAAAACCAACATGCGTATCAAACGGGGATATCTACTGATACAGCTCTACACTGCTTAACCACTAAGATAGGGAAAGCTGTGGAGAATAAAATGTATGCAGTAGGTATATTCCTGGACATCGAAAGGTCTTTTGACAATACTCCCTTCAATGCTATGTGTGAATCTGCACAACAGCATGGAATAGATACACTTATTACTAAGTGGATAGAATCCATGCTCAAGGAACGCTCTATTTTGGGACAGCTCAATGGGACCAAAGTAATCAAGAGTGTAAAACAGCGATGCCCACAAGACGGGGTTCTATCCCCCTTGCTATGGTGTCTAGTATTGGACTCGCTTATTAGAGAGTTAAACAAATATTTTTATACACAAGCCTATGCGGATGACTTAGTTATAGCAGTGGTGGGTAAATTCCCAGATACTATTATAGACTTAGCACAACAGAGACTAAACACTATACAGATATGGTGTAGTAAGTATGGTCTATCTGTTAATCCAAATAAAGCAGAGGTTGTTATGTTCACTAGAAGGAGAATAGGACTAGACAGTCTTGACACTCTTCCTCTAAATGGACAAGAAATTAGCTTAAAATCAGAAGTAAAATACTTAGGTATTATCTTGGATAGTAAGCTAAAATGGAAATCACATGTTGAGTCAAGAATCAAAAAAATAATGACCACATTGTGGACTTGCAGTAGAGCCTTGAGAAAGACATGGGTCTTAAACCAAGAGTTATGTATTGGTTGTACACTTCGAAACCTATGATATTGTACGGTGCCTTAGTCTGGTGGACCAGAACAGCACTCGTTACAGCTAGGAAAGAACTTAGTCGCATACAGAGAATAGCTGCTATGGCCATCACTGAAGCATTAAGAACTACACCAACGGTCGCATTAGAGGCACTAATCGGATTACCTCTTATGCATCTAGAGGTTAAAGCTCACGCCGAAGCCACAGCACTAAGATTTCACAACTTAGGTATGTGGACTTTGGAGAGTGATACAACAGAACATGGTAAAATACTAAAAGAGATAGACCAGGGCTTTTTGGAATACCCTTTGGACTATGTCAAACCGGTTCTTAAGAATAACATTCGCTACAAAGTGGAGATCACTATACGTAAAGAATGGAATATTAACCGCCTGACTGAAAAAGGAGGATTTGTGATATATACAGATGGATCCAAAAAATCAGGAAAAGTAGGTGCTGGAATTTGGGGTTTAAAGCTTCAAATTAATGTTAGTATGTCATTGGACACAACACCCTCTGTTTTCCAAGCAGAGGTGATGGCAATACTGATAGAGGCTTAGAACCTGCTGGTATACAAAAATAGGAAGATAACTATCTTAAGTGATAGTCAAGCGGCTTTGAAAGCACTCTGTAACGATCAGGTGAATTCAAAGCTGGTCCTCGAATGCAGGGAAACTTTAGAATCACTATCGAGGTTCAACAAATTTACACTAGCGTGAGTACCGGGATACAATTGACACGGTACCGTATATTTTGCGATACGTGAAATACACGGTCACCTCGTCTTTTCCATCAGCCGCCTTATTACATCGCGAGCCCAGCCTGATTAGAGTACCCCCGCTATCTAGTCAGGGTGCAAAGTCTATCTACTGGAGCGCGGTCGACCACCGAGCGCCGGCGGTGAACGCTCCATCTTGTTTTTGACGTCCTACGTGAATTTTCTGTATCCGCCGTTGTCACGTGTGGTACATTAAAAGTTACTGTTAAAATCTTAAGTTGTATTAACTCTTAATTTAAATTGTAATATATATATATATATTGGTTTAGTTAAAATTTATCGTGCTTTCTTTTGCTCTCGGCCAGTGCCATTGTAGTAATATTTTAGACATT